AAGCATTTGGTAAAATTCAACATCGATTCATAATCTTTAAAAGGTAAACTCTAGCAAATTATGGATAAAAGAACTTTTATTTGATAATGAGTAGCAGCATAAAACAAAGATTCTTGAATTTTATAGTGAAAGCATTGAGCACTTTCTCCCAGAAATCAAAAGACAATCAAGGATGCCCTCAATTTACACTTGTATAATAAGCATAATAAAAATCTTAGTTGTGGCAAAGAAAAAGAAGATTAAACAATGAAGAATGATTGTAATACTCACATGTTATTAGTATTTATGTGAATTTGAAGTTACTGGAACAGTGTCAAAATGTATGAAGGGAGGGGCTGGTGCTTTGGCCCAGTGGGTTAACACCCTGGCCTGAAGCACCGGCATCCCATATGGGCGCCAGTTCAAATCCCGGCTGCTCCACTTCCTATCCAGCTCTCTGCTATGGCCTGGGAAAGCAGTAGAAGATGGCCCAAGCCCTAGGGCCCCTGCACCCACGTGGTAGACCAGGAAGAGGCTCCTGGCTCCTGGCTTTGGATTGGCACAGCTCTGGCCGTTGTGGCCATCTGGAGAGTGAACCATCAGATGGAAGAGCGCTCTCTCTCTCTCTCTCTCTCTGCCTCTACTCTCTCTGTGTAACTCTGACTTTCAAATAAATAAATAAATCTTTAAAAAATGTATGAAGGGAATTGTATGCATGCATATATAACCTTAGCAACAACATCTAGATATTTCAAAGGCACTGGAATATATCCTATGAAAGACTGCCACATAAGGCATTAGAAAATATGAAGACAGGTTAAAGAAGATCCAAATAAGTGGAAGTATGTACCCCTTAAGAATTTAATAAACAATTATCTAAAATGCTATTGCTCTCTAAATTGACTTTTGTATTCAGTATAATGCCAATGAAAATACCAGCAGATTTGTAAAAAAAGTTAGGTGAACTGATACAGTTTTGAAAATGCAAAGAGTATATTTCCAAGCCAATATAGCCTTAAGGAATGTAATAAGGTGATAGACTTTATATTAATCAATAATAATTACGAGAATATTTTGACTAAGAAAAACAAATACATTAATAGAATAACCAAAACACATCACAAATATATAAAATATAGACATGATAAAGGTGACACTGTAATTTAGTGGGGAAAGATTGTTTCAAAGAGGGGCAGTGCCAACAGGTTGCTCATGTGGAAAAAAGAGCTTGACCCATTGTAATATCATATACAAAGTCACAATCACCAGTGCATTGCAGCTCTAAATGTATAAGGAAAATCATGAAAAATTTTAGAGAATATGGAGTAACCTTTAATGCGTGGCATGAAGAAGCATTTAAAAAAAACTCTCAAAGTACTAAAAATAAAAATATTGATGATTCCAACTACATAATCATGAATCAAAAGTCATCATTCAAAGAGAGAAGATGATATGTGGGAAAATATTTGCAACCTATTTAATCTAAAAAAGGTTCATACTCAGGATATAGAAAAAAAACCACAAATCAATAGGAACAAGACAGAATCCAAAAAAAAAAAATGCAAGAAGCTTGAACAGGCACCTCAAGAAACACAATTTTGCGGTTGGTATATTGACCTTGCAAGTTAACACAAATTCCATGTGAGTGCTGGCTGCTCCATTTCCACTTCAGCTCCTTGCTAACGTGTCTGGGAAATCAGAGGAAGATGGCCCAAGTATGTGGAACCCCTCCATCTTATGTAAAGTCCAGATTGAACTTCATGTTCCTGGCTTTGGCCTGGTCCAGCTCCAGGTGATACAATCATTTGGGGAGTAAAAACAGCAGATGGAAGATATCTCTTGTCTCTCTCCCTCTAACTGTGCTTTTCAAATGCAAAATTATTTTTTAAAGACACAGAATTTCAAATTAACCAACAAAAATATGGAAAGATGTGCCTCCTCATTAATCTTTGGGAGAAAATCAAATCAATGCAGCAATATATGACACTGTACAGAATAACCACATAGAGTGACAATTCCAACTTGCCATAAGAATCTGAAACAATAGGATCTCTCATACAATGCTGGTCAAACTAAAATTTAGTACACTGGAAAAACTATTTGTTATTGATTTTGGAAAGTAAATATTTTTGTGATTTTGAAGTTCCATTTCAGTTGTAACATATATGATGTTCATATGCAGTAAGGCATGCCCAAAATGTTTACAGTGTAGCTCAAATCTGAGTGTAATGCAAACAACCATCTAGATTAGAATGGATAAACTTTTGTGATATAATTATTCAGTGCAACTGTTGGAACAAAAAGCATGAACTAGAGATACACGTAGATATTTTCTGGAAGCATATGCTGATTAAAAGATCCAAACACAAAATAAATGTTTAAAGAATGCATTAATTCAAAGGAACAAATGCACGTATATGTTTCAGGTAAAACTGTTTTCCAATATGGGTATATGTGGGTTAATAGAACAGAATTTGCTGGGGCTGGTGTTGTGGTATAGCAGATAAAGACATAGGCAGCAATGTCAGCATCCCATATGGGTGCCAGTTTGTACCCTAGCTGCTCCACTTCTGATCCAGCTCCCTACTAATGGCCTGAGAAAAGTAGTGGAAGTGTTTGGCCCCTGCCACCCATGTTGTAGACCCAGATGAAGCTCCTGGCTCCTGGCTGTGTCCTGGCCCGGTGCTGGCCATTGTGGCCTTGTGGGGAGTGAAACGGGAGATAGAAGATATCCATCTCTCCATCTCTCTCTGTAACTCTGACTTTCAAAATAAATCTTCAAAAATTTTATCTGTAAAGTTGTTATACTTATCAAAATGCCCTACATATAACATGCTATAGAAAACCTTGTTATTGATCGGACAAATGTTTTAGGGAGTGATTTCTATTAAGCTAGTTGGTCCAGATTTGCTATATGTACCTAAGCATTTTTGCATTTGGAGTAGATAAAGTCAAATAAAAAGGAATAGAAGGGGAGAGAATAAAAAGCAGTACCCTGCTACAAAGTGTGTGGCATTATTGCTATTGAGAAAAAGGATTGTCATTTGGAAAGAGTTTCTGTATGCTAGCCAACTCAGAAACCATGATGTGGTTAGGAAAACTGCATTGTTTTCTTAGAAATGAAATCATTAGGTTATAAAAAAAAAACTACAAAAAGCTTGTGTGAACACAGAAATCAGAGAGAATGGCTGAATAAACCTGGGAACTATTGTTCCAAATTCTTTTTTTTTTTTTGTTATACCAAAATGTATCTTTATTTATTGACAAATAATAATTGTACATATTTATGGGGTACAATGTAATATTTTGATACATGCATACATTTTAATGATCATAGTAAAATAATTAGCAACCATTGCTTCATATATTCAAGGTTTCTTTGAGTATGAACATTCAGAATTCCTTTCTTCTAGCTGTTTAGAAAATTACAGTATGTTATTATTAACTATTATTATCCTACTGTGCAATAGAATACCAACAGGATTTTTTTTTAACTTTTATTTAATGAATATAAATTTCCAAAGTACAATTTATGGATTACAATGGCTTCCCCCACATACCGTCCCTCCCACCCACTACCCTCCCCTTTCCCACTCCCTCTCCCCTTCCATTCACATCAAGATTCATTTTCGATTATCTTAATATACAGAAGATCAGCTTAGTATACATTAAGTAAGGATTTCAACAGTTTGCTCCCACACAGAAACATAAAGTGAAAAATAATAGATGATTTTTTTTAAGTGATGATGAAATCAGATCAGACCTATTGTCATGTTTAATCCCAGTGAGAGTCAAGTTGGGAGTTGATAATTTCTTTTTTTTTTTTTTACAGAGGATCAGTTTAGTATACATTAAGTAAAGATTTCAACAGTTTGCACCCCCATAGAAACACAAAGTGAAATATATTGTTTGAGTACTCGTTATAGCATTAAATCTCAATGTACAGCACATTAAGGACAGAGATCCTACATGAGGAGTAAGTGCACAGTGACTCCTGTTGTTGACTTTACCAATTGACACTCCTGTCTATGGCATCAGTAGTCTCCCTATGCTCCAGTCATGAGTTTCCAAGGCTATGGAAGCCCTCTGAGTTCTCCGATTCTTATCTTGTTTAGACAAGGTCATAGTCAAAGTGGAGGTTCTCTCCTCCCTTCAGAGAAAGGTACCTCCTTCTTTGAAGACCTGTTCTTTCCACTGGGATCTCACTCGCAGAGATCTTTTGCCAGAGAGTCTTGGCTTTCCATGCCTGAAATACTCTCATGGGCTTTTTATTGTTCCAAATTCTGATGATGATTCACTTCCGTTGAAGCATGTCATTAAGCTCAACACTCCCGAATAAAACATAGGCATTACTCTGAAATATCAGATCCATATGGCTGGTTGGTACTCCATATCACTGAGAAATACTTGAAAGATGTTGTCACTTCCTTTCTTTACGACTTTACACAAGTTGAGTAGAACTTTTAGAAAAACATCCCAGCCTTTTCTCTCCTGGTCAAACTTTTTTAGGATATTACTCTCTGGAGTGTTTTGCTATAACACTAACCAACATGTGGGCAAATCTACCCAGGTAATGATTGTACTATTCTCTTGCTACAGAGAAAACTGAATTCAAAATGCTAAAGAAAATCAATATACTGAAATCCAGGTAAAGAACTCATAATTTGTTCCTTGGAATATGAAAGTTGAAACAACACCAAAACTCTGCTTAAACTTGAAACCAAGCTGAATTCTGCAATACAGAATAGGATCAATCTGGATAAGTGAACAAGTTTATTCTTTTTAAGAAAAAAACTGTAACACACACACATACAGTGTGAACTAATATTTGAACATTAATTTTAACACCACAGGGACTTTTAGAGTGAATTCTTGTGATTAGTTATCATGGAACTAATAGGTAAAATCCTAAATGTACAGTCTCATGTTGTACTCTCTTCCCCCTGAGGAGACAAATTTATGATATAGCAGCATAAACTCAGCCACATATATTAAAGACTGTTTTGATGGCAAAGGTCAACAAATTCAAAAATTGACTTATTCAGAAAAGAATGTGTGGAGTCTGCTTCTGTGTAGGTATTGAATAATAAGACTCACCTCTCTGGTATCTCTTTTATGCGTTTCCAGCTGAAACCAACAGGATAAATCAGCTACATTTTGAAGGATCTTTGCCGTCATATAATCCTTTAAGATTGATTCAATATATTTTAGGAAACATCATTCAAAGTTCAGAAGGCAGAAGCATAGGGAGCATTGCCATGAATACAGATCACTTCTGCAATATTTACAGATGTGGGTAGATGGAGGATATTGAGATCTTGCTTTCTTAACATTGGTTAGTCTCTGATGAAGAAGAACATAAAATCCCAAATATATTAAACTCTCTGATGATTATATTATATGAAACAAAGTCTAGCATAATAATGAAATAATTTTGGTACATCTAATTTGGTACCAGTGTAACTTTGTAAAAACAAAAATCCCACTTCTTTTATCTTTTATAGACAAAGGCATATCATTGTTGGTATCCCCAAAATATCATTTAATTTGATTTCTTTAATTTCCAGATACTCAAGTTCTTATCAGGAGAGAATTTGATGAAAGGAGAACCCTCTAAAAAGATTTTTTGTGGTTGAGATTAAATTATAGCTCACATTTTTCTAGGTTTAACATTCTCATCCTGAAGGTTACCCACAAACATTTTTGGTTTTATCTCTATATTGTCCTAGGTCTAAATTGTTAATGACACAGTGACAGGAATTTTGAAGCCTACATTGTGATATGTTTTCCATGATTTTCAATTATCTGTTCTTTATCTTAAATCATACTTTTTATGATACGTAGCATTTTTATTTTTATTTCACTTATGTAAACATCATGAAAAGCATGATGAATGTATATAACATCAGAATATTAATATTTCAAATGAACCATGAATTTGGGAAGTGCTGATAATTTTACATATGGAATAAATTCAAACTGGCTTTGCTTTTGTTAATGAAAGCTTAGAGAACCTTGATGTGTCAAAAATAAAATATTTAGAACAATCAGGTGCTGAGGTATTGATTGCACCAGCAGAATCACATCAGACACATTGGATGAAGAAATTCACACAGGCTGTTTGTACTCATTTGGAAATGAAAGCAGCTATCACACTGTGCTTATTTTTACCAGTTTTGTTCACCAGATGTTTCAGCATTATGTCATTGTACACAGCACTGAATTCTTTTAGCAGTATCCTCTGTAGTCTGGGTATGCTTGTAATTTGTAGTGTCCTATAGGTGGTGAAATAATTACCCCTCTCCCCAAAACGGATAGCCCCATCTTCAAATCTGACTACTAGGATAATAGATATTGTGGAAGACTATGGGAAGCAGCATTCATTTAGCAAATATTAAAGAATACTGTTTGTTGTTAAACTTTTAAAAATGCACCTCTCAACAAGCAAAAGAAGACTGACATATAATGAAAAGTTTAGCAAATAAGAATGTTAACATTAACAGATGCTCTGAAATCTATTTATGTAGTAGGAACAACAAAAATTTTAATGTCTTACTAGGCTGCTTAATGTGTCATAGTTGAAGATTTGTTTGATTATATAATCTCTAGATTTCACACTTGCCTTTTACCTGTGTATATCAACTTCATACCTTCAATCCAATGTGACCCTTTGCAACTTGATGCCTGTCTCAGCTGCCAAGAAGTCAAGGCAGTCCAACCACACTGGCAGGAGCTTCCCATCCATCTCACTACCCTTCTCCCATTGCAGGGATCCCCTCTCCACATTGCCTGCATTTTACTGACCTTTGGATTTACTCTGATTTTGTTTTTTTCTAGACTTGAAACAAGTATTCTCGGGATGGAGATTGAGTGGCATCCCTGTTTCTTCTCTCCTAGCTCTTTGGGTGAGATACTCAGTTCTAGCTCATTGTTTTGACCTGACACTGGCTCCATGTCAGGATCTGTCTGCATGATGATCTACCTGCATGATGACAAAGTCCTCAGTTGTTAGATGCTTAAACATTACAGCTAGCAAATAGTGCCTTTTCAAATTTCTGCCAGAATTCTTAGAAAGACCCTCTAGCTTCTTAATTAAATGGTAGAGTAAGCAATTAGGAACACTCTCAAAGTTAAATGACCCTCCATATTTCAAAGGGCTGGGGGAATTTGCCAAGGGATTGACCCTACCACTTTAACATTTCTGATTTTAAATTCAGGGAAGTAACTGCAGACTAGAAACCTGGGAAAAGAGATAGCTTTGTTTTTCCAATGAAGCATTTCTTTTCCAGCTTTAATTAAAACAGATGCCTTGTGTGAAGATTCTTTTATTTACATGGAACACATCGTGAAAATGAAGGCTTTAGCTCCCTGAAAAGCCTTTCCTGACCAGGAAAATGAGGCCAGGCTAACCCAACTTCACTTAAGTCCTTTGAAATTTTCAAACATTTCAAGTGCTCTTCAGAATGCCTTTCATGCCAAGCTCTAGGTACAGGTCTGCACAAAGCCAAATGAGCTGCAGGGGAAGTCTAGCCGATGATCACTGACCAATCCTTGATTTTCATTCTTGAGTCTGTCCAGATTCTTCTTTGGGAAGTGGATTAATGTTTGCAGAAGCCACTCAAGATAAGTCTCAGAAGCCATGGAGCTGACTTGTGAGTGTTCATCTCGTAGATCCTCTTAGAGGGTTTGTTGCATTGTGCCCCATGCAATGTTTAACTCTGAAAACTCGTACAGTTCCATTTTCAAGACAAGCTAGGGTGTGTGAAGATTTACTTGAAATGGATTTTAAGGCTTGTATTGTCTCTTACAAGTTGATAGATGGATGAGTTTTTTACTCTAGGAAGTATCTCTTCAATCTTAAGTAGATGATAGGAAAGGCACCTGTTTTCCTTTCTAAGCTTTCTTTTACTCCAGTTCTCTCCAGTTTCACTTTCTGTCAAGCCTATTTCTTCTGACTCAAGTCTCCAAATGAAGCATTGTTATTTTTCTTGTTGACTCCAATCATGTTAGCATACCACCAGTTACAATGCAAGAGCTTTGAAAAGTAGGTTCTCTCTTTTACTTTACACATACAGTATAAAGTTTTACATAGAATGAATACCAGCATTTTTGCTCAAAGATTTATAGATCTACCTTTTCAATCTGAAGTGATATAGCAGTCTCAGGAAATGTTAGTGCTTGTTTCCCATATTGCTTTTCTGACAGAACATGCATTAAACAGGGTGTTCTCTGCACTTTAATTGAAAGTGGGTATTACAGATCACCCTCAGAAGACTCTAAGTATGCGTAAGTGCATACACAGTTGGTAAGAATTCTCCCTTTCCTACTGAACTTCAAAGAATGATTTCAGTTTCTTTTGGTTGGGAAAAAAAAAAAACAGACAATATCCCTGAATGCAGCATGGTGAATGCTCCATAAATGGTAAATATCAGTCATAATCTGCCTGATTTTAAAAATATTTTTGATCTTTATGATATTAAACATAAAAATGCCCTTGGGGTTTTCCAAAATATTCAGTGTCAAATTGTGTTTAAAAAGAAGACTGACAGTCATAAGCATTTTAAATACATGAAAAATAAGTAGTTTGATGATGGCAACTATCACCAACACTGTGGCAAGTTATAATGCTAGGTAAGAAGGGAGTTACCTACAACTTGTAGGAAGACAGCGACTCAAGAATTCTCTGGAAATCATTTATTTATGGAGGCAGTGTATGCTGATAGATAAGGAAAATTGATGGTTCTGCTATCCTTGTAAAAATCTGAATTGTTAATTTTAAGTTGTGGATGTTATCCGGTTTCTGAGACATTTTTACTTCTGAATTGGAAATTATTAAATTCTGAATTGGAAATTATTAAAATTCAAAACTTTATTCAATTGAAACAGAAATATAAAACTTTCCCTGGTATTTAACAAAGATAACTGACATTCTGTATTAGGTACTTCAGATATTCCAAGATAAAATATTCAGGTTTGACTTGAATAATTTAGAAGCACTCTGACTAACTAGAAATGTAGTTTATAGGGACATCTATAAAAATATTTGTACAAGATATATATGATAACATTGTACTGTTCCCATAAACTCATAGAATAATGAACTGCAATGACTGCTTCTTACATTAAAAAAAGCCTAATACTAAGTCCCAGTACCCTAGTACTGCCTTTAATTAGAATCCATTTATACCTACTACACTCCAAATTTTCCTTATTTGACTTCCAAGTCAGCGCCTTTTGGTTTTGTTCCTACTCAAGATCCTGTTATTTGCAAGATGAAGATTGGCCACAAAAAGCAAGCAAGTCCCTCCTTTTCATCAAGCAAACCTGCCCGGGAGGCTTTTCACACCCAAAACTCCCACTTTTGTTGCCCAGGACAACCATCAGCCAATGACTTACTGACAGGAGAGTACCTCATCATTATGCTCTTTTCTCCAGCCAGAGAACAGCTGGGTTCTTCGTTTGGTTCAGTCTGCATTCCAGGATGAAGCCAATCTCCAGCTGGAACCACATCCACCCCTGCTTGTCTCGATTCCTTCCCTGTCACAGCTTCATTCATGCTCTTCTGCATGGGAACTTTCCCTTGATATGTTACTCTCACAGACTTCTCACATCAGGCTCTCCTTCTAGAGCATCATGTCTGTGAAAAAGTATCATGACTGTAAAATAGTTCAGAATTAGAAAATTAGCATTTTATGGGTTGTTAGATAAAGTTAAAATTCAAAGCAAAACCATAGCTTGGAAACAAACAATTCCAAACAATATTCAGTTGTTCACTCTCAGTGTCAGTGGGATAACTGATATTTGACTTTGGTCCTTTGACCACAGACAGTGGAGCACAGTGATGCTTGAGGGAAGGGAAACCTGCAAATTACCTCTCATGTTTCTCCTGGCTTTTTCCGTGGGGATCCCTCTGACAGTACAGCGTGGAGGTAAAACCTGAAAGGAAAGTGATAGTTCTACTGAGCAGAGGAGACACAGACCCAAATGTGAAGCCAGTGAAGAGACTGTGGCTCAGGGTAGGAGAGGAAAGGCCACTGAGCAGAGGAGGGCATTGGCTGTCTGTGAGAGGTTTCCCTTCAGGTGTTGGGCCATGGGCTGGCCCGTGAACACACAGAGAACAACTCAGTAAGAACAAGTAGAGCTTGCCTGCTGTGGATGGAGGCAGCTTGGAGATACAAGAAGCTCTGCAGTGCAAGATCTGGTCAAGCTCCAATGCAGCCATAGGGAAAAGAATTGCTAAGGACCTAAACCATCCAGCTGAGAAACCATAACAATCAGACCTTGGGAATCAGGATTATGCCATAATGGTATGATCTAAGACTAAGGATAAGACAAAATCCAACCCACCAACCAGCAAAAAGCTAAGCCTTTGACAAAATCAAGAGGAGCCCTCAATAATCAAATAGCTTCCTGTAACTAAACATGGCGACCTTTGAAGAAAGTGTGATTCAGACTGTACAATAGGCACCATCCACATTATCCAGCATACCACTAGAAACTACTAGACAGAAAAACAGGAGAAATGTGATCTATAGAAAACAGAGTGAGTAAAAGCCAACCACAAATTATCCAGATTACAGAATTAGCACAAAGACTTTAAAACGACCATTCTAAATCTTTAACGTACATGAAGGAGATATAGAAATGACATGCAAAAAGCTGAGGGGCCTCAGTAGAGGGAAGGAAATTACAACTCAGATAAAACATGGAAGTTATAAAGCTAAATATGTCTTCCTATAACTGAAAAAAAGATGAACAGTAAATTGAGCATGCCATAGAAATAGTGAACTTGAAGACACGTCTATAGAAATAATCCAAGGTGAAGCACAAAGATGGGAGGGAAAAGGAATGTATCATCAGCTCCCTTTGAGACCAGAGCAAACAGTCTAAAGCTAGAAATGTAGAAAAGAGATGATAGGTCAGAAAATCATGAAAACAATAACAGTGAAAAGATTCCCACATTTGATTAAAAGTATTAACCTTCGGAATGAGGAGGCTTAGAAAAATACGTACGAGGTAGAAACATCCTGAAAAACAAAGGTAGACAACAAGAGCAGTTAGCAGAGGAAGGCTACATTAATTATACATTTCTATAAAACAAAATAAATGATAAGTCTCTGAAGAAATGCTGAATGTCATATTTAAAATACTGAAAGAAACCCCAAAAACTTAGTTCAGAATTCTGTATCCAGTAAAACTCCATTACAGATTATATATAAAATAAATTGAATGATAAGCTTAAGCTGAAAGAATTTCCTGTGAGAACTGCACAGCATGAAATGTTAAATGAGGTTGATTAAGTTGTAGGGAAATCATAGCAGGTGGAAATTCAAATTTGCAGGTAAAAATAAAAAGAGATAATATAAATATACTAGCAAACAGCAGAGACTCACTTTTACTCCTCTTAAGTTATTCAAATAGCCATTGACTAATTGAATGGAAACAGAGCTGGATTGCATTGTTGCTGTAGGCTGAATTGTGTTCCTTCTTCTACCTTCATGTCTCAATTTGTGTGTTGACTCTCTACCCCCAATATGATGGTATGCAAAGATGGGATCTTTGTGATGTAATTTGGGTTAGATGAGATCCTGAGGGCAGGGTCTTCATGTTGGAATTAGGATCCTTATAACAGGAAGAAGCCTCAGAGAGCCTGCTCCCTCCTCCCACCTCCCTCCTTCCTTTCCCCCGGAGCAATCTGGCCCAAATGTGAGGGGAAGCAAGAAGGTAGCCTTCTGTGAGCTGGGAAGACAGCCCTCACCAAAATGCAGCCATGATGACACTCATATACCCTCCAGAACTGGGAGAACCAATTTCTGTTGTTCTAGCTACTCAATCTATGGTAGTCATGGCAACCTGAGCAGATGAACACATTGTATAATTAATATACATATATAACTTTATATATAATATATCTAATTATATATAATAAATATATAATTACATATTATACTTTATGTGTAATATGTTATAAACGTATATAATTATATACATACATAAATATATAAATATAATTATAATTATTAATAATTATACAATTGATATGTAAAGATAGTCTGATGATTTTATCACAAAATGTGAGCCTTAAAGAGGATAAGAGTATGGAGGTTTTTATGTTTTATGTAAAATACTGTGTGAGAATTATACTGTGATAGGCAATTATTAAAGCTAGCACTAACAGTAACAATGGAAAAATAGAAAAAAAAATCAAACAACAACAACAACAACAAAACCGGAAACCAAAGACCAAGGCAGAGGTTGGACAAATAGAAAAGAGTAGGATAGTAGATTACAACCACATAGTGTCAATTCCTACATTAAGTGTAGATAAATTAATACTTGAAAAGATTGAAGCAACATTTCAATTTACAAGTATATTAAAATGGACTTGGAAAGCCATAGCTTTAGACGTGTCAAGTAAAAAACATAAAAAACATGGAATAGCTCTTCTGGGAGATGTCAGTTTATTGTTATCAATAACTGAATCAAACAAATAGAAAATATTAATGGGTGCATCTAGGAACACAACTAAGAAAGGTACGTAGTTGCTATGCAGAAAACTATCCAACAACCTCAGCATGCTAGCTACTTTATTTTCTTCCTAACCTGATTGAACATAGGAAGCACATTACTTTAAATCTGAAGAGACAAGAAAAGGGACCTGTTTAGATTACAGATTAGATCAGGTTAGAATAGATTAAATTAGAGAAACTGATCCTTTGTCTGACAGTGTTATGGCCACTTGAGTTTATAGTAGCTCAATAATATCAGATATCAATTAGTTTAATGCTAGTGTTTGAGCATATCTAAAGATGTCATCAGGACTTAGAGAGAAGAATATATCCTATTTTGCAGAATTTAAGATGAATCAATTGATGTGCCCTTAAAGAAAGAAAAATGTGCTAATTCATGCTTTTTTTTAATTGAAGAAGTTCAGTATGAGGAAATCTAAAAAAATCAACAATATGGATAGGGACATCTTATTTAGGACACTGGTGACAAGAAGCAATAATCAGAAAAGAGACATTACAGGAAAGTAATCAGTTAATATTAGAGTTAGACTGAGTTAGTTTCATCAATGATGAATGTTCATCAGTTTCCAATTTGAGAGTAGGGGTAGATTTTAAAGAGGCTTAGATGCCAAAGTTTAGACTTTGGATCTGTAAAGCTTGAGTTCTACCATTTGTTAGCTATGTGACTTTGAACAAGCCATTTCATTCTGTGTTTCCATTTTCTCTTCTATGGAACTTGGAGTTAGAAACACATACTTAGGCTTCTCATGAGGACAAGGAGAATCTATGGTTCTTCTGTAACACATCAACACTTTGTGTCTAGGAAATCATCAGTAAAAGCAGTGGGGACTGCTGTTTCTCCAGTAAGTAGGAGAGGGTAGACAAGAAGGACCTGTTGGGTGACTATTGCAGAAAAACACATATCCTATCCTAATAACTTTGTTGTTTTCCAGGATGTCTCATTTCCTCAAATCATTCCACTGTCATCCAACACTGAGGTAGAAGTCTGAGAACTCCCTTTGGTACCTCTACCTCAAACTTCTATATGAACAAGAGCCTCATGTATTTTCCTTCATAAGCAACTCACCTTTATCTCCTGAATTGAAACTTTACTTTCTAAACCCCAGACAGAGCTGCTACTATTATAATCTCTCATCTAACTCACTCAAAGGCTTCAGTTTTGTTTCCATGCTAGTAGTTCTTGCCCCTTAACCCAAGGACAGCCTCAAAATCCTCAACTCTGACCATAGTGCCAAAGATAAAATATTATTATGCCTTCAAGATTCTGAGCAATCTGGCCCAAATTAACGTTTTGGTGCAAGAATTAGTTTAGGAAGGAGAAAAAAGAAAGTTAATTGGATCAAAGGGTAGTGCCCCTGTTTAGACCAATTCTCTGTTATCAGACCAGCACATGAAGATCGGTTGTGTTTTGCGGAGGCGAGTGTCACATGGGAAGGAGATGAACTGTGCATGTAAAGCACAGAGAAAGTTTGGGGGGGAGGCAGATTCAAATCTAGCCAAGGTGTGCAGGCACCCAGCAATGAACAAGCTGTGTGACTGGAGGAATAGTATGGGGTTATAATAAACTGGGTTAAGGGACATTTTGAATATCAAATCTGGGAATTAGACATGTGTGGAGCAGCATAATCAGAACTCTAATTTCAGTTGTTTTTATTTAAACAAAAAAACTAATTTTATTTGAAAGGCAAAGAGACAGGCAGATGAAGAGAGATCCTTTATCTGCTTTTTTACTTCCTAAATGCCCGCAATAGCCAGGGCTTGGCCAGGTCAAAGTGAGAAGTCCAGAACTCACTCTGGGTCTTTTATTTCGGTGAGAGGAACCCAAGTACTGAAGCCTTCAGGGTGTGCATTAATAGGGAGATGTATTGGAAATGGAATAAGTGGGACTTGAACCAGGTACTTTGATACCAAGCTAACTTAACCACAGTGCCACACACCCACACCAGGATTGTAATTTTCAATGTTTGGGTTTATTATGGTTCTCCAGAGAGACAGAACTAGTAGATTATGTA